GCTTCCGTAAAGTAGCTCATGAAGTCACGGGCTAATGCGCTGTACGATTTGGCTGAACGTTTAAAATGCAGATGAATTGCAGATTATTTTATTATTTATTTATTTATGGTAACATGAAGAAACTTTCCCGGCTTCTTTACATCTTAAGAGAATGAAGATCTCCACTTAACTTTCTTGCAGCTTGCTCGCGTCACATTTGATGATGATAATAATAACAATAACAATAATAATGTTTATTATTAATACTGTTGTTGCCTGTGTTATTTTTAAGCTAGTACTATTGATTTATTATTATATTATTTTTATTACTAATATTATTAGTAAAGTGATGCACCGTATAGAGTGAAATGGAGTAAAGTGTTATATAAGCTACAGATCGAAGGAAAGTAAGAAATATTAATTTACAAATATAAATTATATTTTCCACCGAGCGTTAGTTCAAAGCGAACCCTAATAAATCTATCAATGATAAATAGTGCCTGCACTAACCAAATACCACCTCATAGCTATTCCGCCCACCCCCGCATCTATACAAATTCCACGGGAATGAGTCCCTCAAATCTCGTTCACCTCGCGGATGTTTGGGGGCGAATCACGTGATGTAATATGCAAATGGCTCGGTTTCGCATTAGCCTGCCGTTTTGAAGCCTCGCTGACCTCTCGCGTTGGAGGAAGCCGTGCAATTGGCCTGCCGGGCAGCCCTCTCTGCCCACGCACTCACGGGGCGCTGCAAACAGCGTGAATCGAGTTAAACTGGAGTGCAACGCGATCCATCGAGTGGAAAAGGGTCGCCACGGCGGGAGCCTAGTTAAATCCTAGTTGAATGCTAGTTGAATTCAAGCTGCCACGGGTTCGTACTGTGTCTATGTGCGCATGCATGTGCGCGAGGAAATTAAACGGGCATATAAAGAGGACTTCCTCCAAGAAAGGACTACTTTGAAAGGTAGGGTAGCAAATGAACGTCGCGCAGAGCCATGGCATTGCAAGACATAGTGATGAAGCCGTTAACAATTGAGCTAACTGTAAACGAACGCACTGCCAAAATGCGATTATGGACATAACGTGCAGATATATTGCCAGCGGTGCCAAGCAGTAGCCGACAAAGTGGCTCCCTCTTGTAGTAAAAACTTGTGTACGACATTATTTCAAAATATATCATTAAGGATCAGATTTCATGAAGGAACAAAATGTATCTTCACACTTGTGCTTGTAGGAAGTCGTAGAAAAACGTTTGAACTTTTGCAATTACTGAATAACTCGGGTTTTTAACGATCAGACCTGCACCATTCTCTTAGAGGTCTTTCACGCTATATTACAACAAAATTTAATCAAAAACTTTGGAACATTTTTTTAAAATTGTCCCAAGGCTTCATGAAAACAACCCCCGCCTCCGAATTAAAATATCGGTGTCAAATTCAAGGGGCCAGATCGATTGGGGAATACCAATTTTGGAGAAATCGGCTAAAGGGTTTTGCCGCTAGCGTTGTTCACGGGCGGACAAACGTTTTGCCGTAATTTAATTTTTTGGTATCAAGAACCCACAAAACTTGGATTCTGCCTACACCACGTGATAGTTTTTTTCTTAGTTTAGCAACTGGATTTATCCACATTTTCGTTACCAAGGTCCTGTAGTTTTGCCTAAAAAATCGCCGTTTTTCCCCGCAGCATTACACGACTGTCTCTGTACTGCGTAAACGGTAACGAGAAAATAAAAAAATCTAAAATGCCCGGGAGCTGCCTAGGCGCGTACTCCCGCGTGTGGCGCAGTTGGTGGGCGTGGCACGCCGGCCCGGGTGCACCGCACCGACGCGGGCGCATCTTAATTGCGTGCGGGGGGGAGGGGGAGCGACTGCCACGGGCACACGTCTTGCTGGCCCCGCGTGCATTGTTCCCCGCCCCTCTTTCACTCCGCGGCCGGTGACAATGGCGCGCAATATCGGCCATGGGGGGGGGGAGGTTTTACGTGGCTTACAGCCCCAATTAAGGCGGCTCTTGTTTACCGCTGCAGCCGCTTTGTTGGGGATTTGCCGCACGAATCGCGAGCGAAGGGAGTTTGAAGAACGGCCCCGCTGCGGGGAAGAACCGCAGGGTGCGGTTTAAACGTTGAGACAATCCGGGGCAGCTCGGGCAGAATGGCTGCTAGACGCCCGAGGGATTTCGAGGCTGTTCCTGTATGGTTAGGGTATGATCAGATCGTCGAGGTAGATAATAATACGTGTCTTACGTTTAAGATTAAAAAAAGAACTTTTCGTCGCTTTCCAGAAAAAAGGCTGTAATTTTAAATTTATGATATTTAAGTATTTTAAGGTATATGCATTCTTTACTGACTTAAGCTGTGTCTGTGTTCTGAAGTAAGCTTTAAAACATTTTTCATTAGCACTTTGTAAAATTTCGTAAATTTTATTAGACTTTTGGGAGTTGAAAAGTAAATTTTCAACGATTAATCCTTTTCATAATGTTTTATTATATTTATTTCGCAGATACGAATTCGACTAAGAACTGTTCATCAGAACCTAATGCAGTGGAAAGCAAAGCGAAGAAACTTCTTGTATCAGTGCAACATTTATTTGGAAATTAATTCTGTATTTATTTTTTTCTTTTGCCTAACATATTGAGCATTGCAATATTATTTTCTTTACGTCAAGAGATTGTGGAAATCGAAGCTATTTTGTTAGAGATTTAATCTACAGGTTTTTCTGAGGTCATTTACGATTTATTTGTAATTACCACGTTCTGTGCAAAATGTTCTTCTTTATAATTTTTGTGCCGCATCGTCCAATATAAATGTTTTCAATAATCTTCTGGAAATCTCTGCTAAAGCTTTTTGCGTTTCAATATTTTTTTTCTAAGAATAGAAATGGTGTCGTCTGACTGATTTTTTTCCTTTTAGTTCTACGAAGTCGGGGTGCAGGTTCCTTTCGAGGAACGCGTGAACCAAACGACCGATTTCGGAAGCAGAGTAGAGCTGTCCGCGGCTGTGGCGGACGCACGTCTTGTACTGGCTGGGAACCTTTGAGGGAAAATTCAGTGATTTCCATCACTTTTTTTATTTAATTGTAATTGATCTGCGAGGTAAATAAGAATAATTTTAATATTGTCATTATTGCTTCTTTCTAATTACCTTCTGAAATTGGTTTTAAAATACAGTCTTCCAAGTTCACTTCTCTTGTCCTACGTGGAGGCATGCATATTCAGTGTATGAAAAGAAAATGCTGAAAATAGTTCTTCCTTTGAATGTCTGCATATTCTGTTTATTCTGATTCGACCGAAAATACTTTCATGCTGTTGCTCCGAAATAGAGTAAACATGAGGACGATTGTTGGGTTACATCGCGCAGCGTGCTGTTAGCGACATTTATCAAGAGCTTCCACTCCGAACGGAACTTTGATCGCATTGTGAATTTATTGTGTTCCAGAAAGTTTGCGACAGGCCGTATAATATATGGTCATAAACATCAAGGCCCATGAGCAAATATAATACGTCTAAGGCTGAAAAATTTTGCGAAGTATATTGTGAGGATACTGTGATAAACACGGGACAGTATTGGAAAGTTCCCGAGACTGTGTTGCATGCCTCTGAATAAGAGAGCACACAAAAAAGTCGGTGAATCGTCGCAAGACATCACGAAATTCTCCGAAAAATACTAAGTTTAATTGTATCTTCACGAATGTGCAATTCACAGAATGTATCTTCAGCCAAAAATGCACTAAAAAGAACGGAAAAAGGTGAAAATGACTTACTAGATCAAATCGACGAAAAATGCAAAACAACTGACAAAATTGGGTCATCATGTTTCGTCATAACATAAAATAAATTTCTACACTTAACGACGTTGTTCTAAAGTGAAAAGAAAAAAGATATATTTCATTAAAGTCCGACCTTATTCATAACATCTCCTTAACATTATCGAGATAGTTTTTGATGTCGTGGCATATCTCTTTGACAAGGAAGTATGTGAGAAGGTTCGCGGTAGGCCGTGGTTCCATTCACCTCCGCCAGAGCGTTTGCCCCGCGACACCGCAACGTGTCTCGCAGGCGGCCCGGCAGGCGCTGAGCACGTGGGTGAGGGGAGGAAACAATAGGCGCCGTTGACGCCGGCGCCGCCGCCACCGCCGCCGGAAGGAGGCGCCCCGCGTGGCGGAAGCGCGAGGACAAACCGCGCCGCGCCGCCGGAGGGCAGGTGCTGTGGCGGCTTCCGGATCGACGTATTTGTTATTACTATTATTATCATTAATAATAATATTATTGGCGTATAACCCATTGCTGCCCACGCTACACGATTAACGTGTATAATTATTCCAGGATCTGCTTTTCAGCTGTATCCCTCGACATGGTTGTTAAGCCTTAAAGTGTGAATTTTAAGATGTTAGGATGATGATGAAGGGTGAAGGGACAATCACAAATACGACGATGTCTACGCAAGACTCGAACCTGCAGCCTCCTCGGCACAGATGACTGCTGCCATAACCGTCTGCGCCATGGGGCCGACATTATTATTATTATTATTATTATTATTATTATTATTATTATTATTATTATTATTGTCATAAATAATAATAGGGTTTGAAGAATGTACGAGTCTTCCTTTATTTTGCTTTGTTCTGACATGAAAACAAGTTTTATCAATGAGAAACAATCTGAGAACGGGCTTGCTGTCGCTCCGCATGTGGGTATGCTGCCTGAGCCTCACACTCATTCGCCTCTTCCATTTCGGGCGTGGGCATTTAGTTGTGACATTGATTAGGAAAGCTGAATACGCGAATAATTTGCTGTCTAGAACGTGTTCGTAATTGAGAATTCCGGTCAGGTAATGATAATTGTGAACGTGACAGATCTAGTTGGAAAACAGGGTTTCATAACCAGAAAACAATTATTTTCCGATCAAAATTTCTACTAGAGCAGTTGCTCGGTCGAGTACCGTGTGCCTTGGCCAAGCAACAAGCAGGTGCAATTTGGCCCTGAAATTTTGAAGAGTACAGATGCGTGTTCGTATATCTCACCTGCGTGTACGTCATCCAGCAACAGGGTTCCACCTGGTTGGAGTCGAGCCCCCAGAACTCCAGTTCCTCCTCGAACAGCGGCCCGCAAACGTCCGTGGGGTAGTGTAGCTTCCCCGTCCTGCCGACAGGGCGCGACACCACGTCACTTCCACCTACTCACTTCTCCGCGAAATGTAGATTTATTAGATATTCAGACACAGAATTGTTCTTCGCCTCAGTAGTTAGATGGTATGGAACAAACGGGGGTTTAAAAGGAGACCATAATTCCAGAGGACTGCTAGAAAAGAGCAGTTTTCGTCATTGAAGGAAAAAGCGAATAAGAGGTGCTGGGCTGGGTTACAACTTGTCGGTCCTCCAGTGAGATTGGCATAACATCGCGTAGTCGTGGCCACTACATCACGCTGGAACGGAAATGTTGAACGTAATACCGCAGATATTGAAGTAGAATCTCCAAAGAATGTCACATTTTAGTAGGAGAAAGTCTCCTAGGTTTGTAAAATGGATCATGATTTCAGTGTTGTGTGTTATTCATTGGCCTTCAGCCTTCAATTATTCACATTACAAATAATCTGTGTTGCTGAAATCACGATTAATTTTCCAGCTTTCCTGTGCTCTCTTTGTGAACTTTTAGAAAATGTGACACTCTCTGGGGGCTGGTGGAGCAATTTCTCTTAAGAACACGTTTCTTTAAATCTTTAGACAGCAGACAATTTTTTTCAATTATTTTATTTCATAACAATTCAAATACTCATACACTCATACAATTTTTACGTGTGTGTTTTCCCAGTCTTCAACGACGTTTTGAGAGCTTTTGCGCCCCCAATCTTCAGGTCTAATGAAATAATACAATACACGTTAATTACTCAATGTATAACAGCCTACTTTGAGTTCTAGATAATTAACGAAACTTCGTTGCAGTCTGGAAAAACATATACGTATGATTAAATTTGAATTATTTGGAAACAAAATATTTGAAAACATTGTCTGCTGACTAAATTTGTAAAGAGGCCTATTCTTAAGAGACATACTACTATAAGAAGATAATATCAAATGGTATAAAACTACTGGTACAATGTTTATGTCCTTATGTTCTCACTTACCCTTTCAATCTGAAATTGCGGGCAGCCGTAGGACTCCAGTGAGTTAGTGCGACGACTTCAGAGGGAAAAATACGAGTTTTTGTAAAGAACGTGCGCCGAACGCCGGCCTCATTGTTCCAGTGTCCATTGTCGAAAACGTCTTCCTAAATCCATCTTTCCCCGGCGTTTGGTCACTTTTTTCTCAAATATCTTCTATTTCTTTAATAATTAACATTATCAAACAATTGATGCGAGGTAAATTTTTTGTTTCCCTTTAATTAGAAATAAAAAACTAAACCGATAAAATTTTTGAATGAAAAACGTGTTAAGACGTTTCGTGTTACAAAATATGTATCTTCCGAATAGATCGCGTAATATACAGTGCGTTTAGCATTTGGAGAATTGATGAAATATTAATTTGTGGTGTTAGAAATGTTTAAAGAACTCATTAATGGTATCAATTTGCATTACTCTTACGTCTTTTAAGCATTTTGTTTCTTCACGTTCTTTTTGTACTGTACTTTTTGTAATAAGTACGAAGAATTTATTTTCAACTCGGGAGAAATATTTCGCCCTATGAGATACAAATTGATATTTGACATAAAACAATTTATTTTATGAAACCAATAAAACACGACCATGGCAATAGCATTAATGGTGAATTGTTTGCAGTAGTACCACATTCAAAATCCCCCATTCCCGTATACATCGCACACTTTTTAAGTGCGTTTTGCCCGTCAATTGCAAGTGGAGTTGATTTGTAGACGTGGGAACTGGGTTGATAAATTATGTAAATACGCAGTGTTTCATGCATTTGCGCGTGCCGGCTTAGCTGCTCGGGGCGCCAATTGATGTCACTGCGGCGCCTCTGACCGTTAGGTCCTAGGGTTCGAGCTCCGATGCCGGCAGGTTTTTCGACACTCGCTACAGACATAGGTCGAGTTCAACTGCTGTCTGCAGGAAAATTCTGGCGGCCGGCTGCTCTGATGGCTGTTTTTCTATGGTTCCCATGAACATCACCAGGTGAATGCCGGGGCAGTAACCTAACAATCGGGCCACGAACAGTGCGCACTATTTCCTTCCCTTGTTTGTTTTGTCCCTATAAAACATGCATTTACACTAACATGCACTACACTATCAGACATGTCTGGAGTTCAGTCGGGCGCTTAGTGCTTGTCCTATCTAGGGCGGTGCCCCGTTGATGGGAGATAGCTCGTTGGGGGAAAACCTCGCAAACGGACGTGTAGGCTGGCACTGGATATTGCCATCCAGCTGAGCAAGATCACCGCTACCTCTCGACAAAAAAATGCTCTACACTTACGGGATCAATGACCTTAGCCGCTGCCGCGCACGGAAACACTAATTAAGTGCAATTGCGCGCTCTCGTGTCCGTGGCAAGTGTGCAACCGCGCAAGCCGCCCGCTCGGCTGTCCACCCACCTGTAGTAGTTGAGCACCTGCGCGAAGACGCCCGGGTGGCGGTCGAAGAAGTACTCGTTGAGGATGGGGTCGTAGTTGGCGAGCGCCTCGGTGAGCCGCGACAGGCGCGTGGCCGGGATCTTCTTGAGCGTGGCCTTGTACGTCTCGTGGCGGATGCCGCCGACGTTGAGCACGACGCGGTTCTCCGCGTCCATGTTGATGAGGTTCATGGCGCCGCTGGCAGCCCGCTGCGCCGCGCGACCTGCGGACGCACCCACCACCGCCTCACCTCTTGCTCTCCTCACGCGCCTTACAGCTAACAGGAATTAAGGAAATCGGTTTGAAGAACGCCCACGTGAGTCTATATGTGTGTGAACAGACTGCGAACGGACTCGAGGGCGAACGGGGCTCGAGGGCGAACGGACTCGAGGGCGAACGACTCGAGGGCGAACGGACTCGAGGGCGACGGGACTCGAGGGCGAACGGACTGATGTGTGCGAACGGACTCGAGTGCGAACGGACTCGAGTGCGAACGGGCTCGAGTGCGACGGCTCGAGTGCGAACGGCTCGAGTGCAACGGCTCGAGGGCGAACGGACTCGAGGGCGAACGGACTCGAGGCGAACGGACTCGAGGGCGACGGACAGAACAGCGAACGGACTCGAGTGCGAACGGGCTCGAGTGCGAACGGCTCGAGTGCGAACGGGCTCGAGTCGGCTCAGTGCAAACGGGCTCGAGTGCAAACGGGCTCGAGTGCAACGGGGTCCGAGCTGCAAACGGGCTCGAGTGCAAACGGGCTCGAGTGCAAACGGGCTCGAGTGCAAACGGGCTCGAGTGCGAACGGGCTCGAGTGCGAACGGACGTTGCAGGCAACTCCTGTACGCGTCCGCGAATTTTTACCTGTACGCCAGGCGGCATGTGCGTCGGTCTGTGCGTCGATCTGTCACTCCGGCGTCCATATGTTTGACTTTTCTGACAATGTTCCGTTATGTGTTCGGCCATGTGTTTGCATGCCATCCCATCTGTATGTCAATTTTTCCGCTCGTTTGTCCGCCTATCTTTCTATGTATTTTGACTTGTTTTTGAATCATGTTTTTGTCTTTCCTTCTTTTATGTTCGTCCTATAGAGTGATCTTGATTTTCGTTTAACATCTTTTTGTCAATGTGACCATTTGTCTTTGCTTTATTTCAATCTTCGTTTTCGAATAAGACAAATAATAACAATAAAACAACAACAATAATAATAATAATGATAATGATAATAATAATTATAATAATAAAAAACTTTTCAAGAAACCATTTTGAAAATGTTTGGGTAGATTAGAAAAAGTTTTGAGTAAAGAGAGATAAAATTACGAGCTTAAAATGTATCGCAACTTCATCGCAAAGTCCTAGCAATGTGAGTACTGTTCTGTATACTCAGTTCATACACACATTCTGAAAAAAAATCAGTCAAATGTTTTTGTGACGAGCGGATGTCAAATATCTTCTCGCAGTTAGTTTTTTCCCCCTGGTTTTCATAAACGAATGCCAGTATAGCGTGTATTAAAGTATTCGTTTAAAATATGTTATTTGTGTTCTTTTTTCGTGAAACATCCCGAAACACATTGCCTGTCGATCCCTAGATGGTTTGCTTGGAACGAGCTTATTTAATGGAGATGCGTGCCGGTGAAAACGAGTTCTGCAGATCAGATGAAACGTGATGGAGCGAATGTGTCCTCGGCGCGATCCCCGAACGAATTCTAATTAAGCGGCTGCTCGGAATGCGTTTAACTTCCCGCTCTCGTACATTCGCCGAGTCATATTTCAGGAATTCGAAGCACATGCCACGGCTCGGGCCCATCTCCCTACTTTCTACCACATTAAACTGCAGACGTCCTCGCCTCGATTAAAGAGCGACCTCTCTCCTCCCTTTTATGTAATCTTGTTTAAGAAACTAATTTACGCAAGAGAAATCAAGCAGAAAAGCCGATTTCACCCTTCCGAATTAACTTTTCGAATGAGATTCGCGCGCGTCTTGCCCTGAGCATAGTCGGGGGTCGTGGCGGGACTTGCTGGTGCACACGTGACATATTTTGAGCGGGTTAATTCGCGATTACGAGAGGAAATTTGTTGATGCTTATCTCTTGGCTGAGACGAGGAATTGCGTAATATTGTGGTATGGAAGCCAGGCTGGCTTTTTAGGATGAAGTTCGTTTTCGTGTTTGCTGGCATGAGTTGCAAGGTTAACTCTAAAAACCACCTAAGAAATTTTAGTTAGAGATTAATAGTATTGTAGATGGTGCGTATTGTAAATTTTACCAAAACTAGTTTTGAAATCCTCTGCTCTCGAATTTTTAATTTCGAATACATATATTAAATAACATTGCTGACAAAGTGTAAAATGCGCTAAAATTGAGAAATATTACTATCCATTTGCCTTATAGGTATCACTGCATTTAAATCTATTATTTATAATTTAAAATCGAAAAATAAATAGATATGGTACTTGACACTACGGTCCACAGCTAAGAGTTATAGAAATATAAGTTATTAGTAAATGAGTGAGAGGAAATGGATATTACTTCAAAAGAACAGTAATCAGTGCTCTGGGAGGCTTCGTTCGGATTAGGAGTATTAAAGCAGTATTAAGTTTAAATTTTCAAAACTCGATTATTTCGGTATCGACGTTTCAAACATTCAAATTACTAACTATTCTTGCTAACTATTCTTCGTAGAGGCATTGATCGGAAGAGTATTAAAAGTATTGTGAATAACAACTTGGATCGTATTGTGTGTTCCTCTGGAATGCGTTCATTTACCCTCAACAGCCTCGTCGCTTACACATCACAAGATTCGTCTCCGCCTACGGGTGTCCAGCAAGGCGCCTTGACACTGACGTCCCTCGAATCTGCCCCTCACCGCAGATCAAACAGCCTCTCGGAAACACTCGCGATTACTCGCGCTTCGTTGCCCTAAACACATCGCCACACGCTCCCCCACCCCACCCCACCCCGTGTGTCCCTCGCACGCCCATACCCACACACACGCGCGTGTGCGCGCGCGGACACGTATTAACCCCGTCCAAATACGCGTCCGGCTGCCTGCCCTCCGTGCATAATGGAGGTATAGCGGCGGCGAGCTTAATTGGGGGGGGACCTCGCCTCAACTTCGCCCGGCGGCGCTCCCCCCTCGGGGGCGGCAAAGCCACGGGGCAGTCGAGATTAAATAGTATATAATAGAAATGATTTACAGAGTGGTCATTTCGAAGTCTTATCTCCTTGGAAAAAAGAAAATTCGGGAGCGGAAAGAATTTCTTTTCAGCCTTATGGTTGAAAATAGGATACGACTGTTTTGGATATCATTTAACGTAAGAGAAACACCATTTTTGGACACAATAATTAGCAGCGTCTTATGAATGCATTGATGCATAAAATTCCCAAATTCGCGGAGAAGCAGATACGTCACTTTCGGAATGAACTCTTGAATGAATGAAAGCAATTGTGGGGTAGGTGCCTTCGTGGGGCTTTCTAGCGCATTTGTTTAGTCCCTGCGTGGTGTTGTTCTGCCCGCCCCTTGATAAGAGAAGTCTGATACCATAGCGGTACGTCAATACTGAACGCCAAATATCTGAATAAATTAAATCACTCTTATCTGAATTGGTAATTGAAGGAGTGAATGAAATCGAGTTCCCAAATTAATTAATAGTTCGATTGAACTGTGAATGAATGAAAATTTGAATGAATGATTGGGTGAAGGCGAGTGCCCGTGTAGTACTTTCGAATTGAGCTGCGCAGCGGTGTAGATCCACGACTCTTTCAGAGAGCATATACTCTTATATGACTGAATCCGGAGTAATAAACTCATTTTACTCACTAAAGGGGCCTGAAGTCCGTTTAATTAAAAAAAGCCCAGTTATTAAATTGTATTGTTCAATTCAGATAATTGCCAAGGCGTTCCCATATACTATGTATCAAGATTGGAATAAGTTTTTCTCTCATTTATAAGAAAAGCTTTATCCCATTTTTAGTGCTTATTAACTAACTAACTATATATATAGGATTATAATGGATTAACCTTTTTCAAAATAAAGAAAAAAGTATTCTTTCTCAACGAATATTATTTATTTCATGTTCATAACTTTTTTAAAGAATGTTGGCAACTTTTTTTGCATAAAGTTCGGTGTAAATCTCGCTTTAACATGTACGAAAGAACGAAATATGTCTTACTCCCATTGTATTGTTTCTGTTTTGAAATCTGTTTTCTTTTGAATCGTCTAAAATTGAGTTGGTTATATCAAAAAAGTCCAATCTCCTTGAATCGTATGTTGTGGGCAAACGCCACTTCTCCAGGCAGTGGCAGGAAACAAACAATCACACGTGCTTAGTTTCAAGTAACGAAGCGGATATGTGGTGTTTTACCATTCATGAAAGCTGTAGCCATATTTGGTATTGATTTTCATTTTCGTAAAGGTGAAAAATGTGGCATTTTCGAAATAACCTATTTACTTCTAAGAAGTGCGTTCTTTCGTTGAGTTTTCAATCTGCTGAGTATTTAGGAAGCATGATTGAACCGTTGTTTATTTTCTGATTTTTTTAGAGTGAAGAGCTGCTCTCCCCCTCCCCTCTTTCCGCTGGACCCGCCCTCTCGGCTGACGCCTCTCGCCGTCTGTTACCTCCGCACCTCTCACCTCTCACCTCCCGCCTGCGCCGACGGACGGCGACGGCGTGGAAAAAAAGTAATCACCACTAGCTGTTTGACTTGGAGAGCGAAAAAGTTCGTGCAATATAAATATTCGCCTCTGCCAATAACGTAATTAAGTGGGAGGGGCCCGAGCGAAAACTCGCAGTTTGTTTTCGTTGCGGCTGATGCCACAGTGGGCCGCGATTTTGAAAGTTGGGCTTTCACGTGTGTGCTTTTCCGTGCGTATTGCTGATTATTCGACGGTTTAAAATCCGTGATGTGAATAAATGACTCGTAATTGTGGATTTTATCGTGTTAAAATAGCCTTTGAAATTGTCATAAAATTAATCGTATTAAATGGTCGCTGTTAATAAATTCGAGCGAAGAGTGACCCTAAAATTTTAGTTTTCATCTATAGAGGGTTTCATAAGAAGGATACGTGTAATAAGTAATTAAATAGTGAATAATTCTGGGTCTTTGATGTCATATAGAAACATATGTTTAAAAAATGTGATCTGTAAGAAAATTAGTGTAGAAGACTAGCTGTGTCAATTCTAGAATGTATGTTTCTATCAGTTATTAATCTTTCCATTATCGTGTTAAATATAAGAAGCTGTGAATGATATTGTGATTTGTGGAAAACATTTTATTCTGCAAACCGAGGAGGATATAAATAGAAGAAAATGCTCAGCTCTTCCTTCTCCACTCCGATGCAAAACGCCAACTCGCCGAAATATCAATCTACGCACTACACTCCCAGGGCTAGTGAGCTCGGCAGTTGACGCGCCGCGAATCAGCCCACTGCGAAGGCGTCGCCCACTGCGCGCGTCGGGCGCCGGAAGCGGGAAGGATGAAATCGAGGGCCGCTCGCCGCGAGCTCTGGCGCGGCCTTTCCGAACCTCGGATCGCTTCTCGTCCCCCCACCCCCACGCGTCAGCTGCACCCTCGAAGCTCCGGTTGGAGCGGCGCAGCGTGGGCAGAACAATCTTGGCTTACGCAACACCGCCTGAACGAGTCCTAAACATTTTCTCGCGAATGTTTTCTTGGTCTTTTTCTGACATTTGGATTCTTTGATTTGACCACTTCAGTGTGTGGAAATCGTAAATAAGGCGCCTAATACGGATGAATTGTACCTCTGGCAAAGACAAATTAATATTTCTCCAGCGGGGTCATCAAAGTCGCTGGGAGGGGATGGTCCCTCCCCAATTCGCTCCCTGGTGCGCCACTCCAGCAAACAGCTGTGGGCTTCTCCAAGAGTGGAGCCGTTTTTGAGAGAAGTGCCTGTTGGGTTCGTAACGCTGGGGCGCGGTTCTTGACTCCGCATTCTCAGCATTTAAAAATCGTTCATAACGTTTTATATCGTCGTGTACCTAGTAAAGGGAATGAATTACAATGCAGCAAAAAATGGGTTGTCGACTTTTTGATGGCAATACACGTACAGGTTTCTACTTAAAGAAAGTGTTTTATTGGAAGACGACTGATTGTCCATTACTCGCCCGATCCTCTCATAGGACTTTTTTCAAAATGGATATTCTCCGATCTATTTAGTGGAACTCGCAGCAATGTGAATTTAAAACCGATCTTTTAATTGGAGGTGTACTTTGTGAAGCCCATAGTTTTGTTTTCGACGCGACGGTCTAACCGTCCATTAGTTCGCCCGTCTGTGCATCCATACATCCGTCCGTTCGTCCGTCCGTCCGTCTGTCCTTCCATCCGTCCATCTGTGCGTTGGTCAGTCCGCCTGCCCATCCGTCGGTCCGTTAGATTTTGTCTATGTGTGTGTGTGTGGCTGAGGCCAAGGAACGTCAATGCGTGAGTGTATTGAGAGTATTCGCTCAGTATGCGCCCTTGTGGCACCCCTGCGTGCGAGTGTGCGTGACCGCCCGTCGCCTAAGGGCGCGGCGAGCAAAGCGGAGGAGCTAGCGGCGGGGGCGAACGTATTCGCCCTGAAATTACAATACGACCTCCGGCCAGACTTCTGCACTGCTTACATGCTTACGACTAGAAGATGAAAGTCATCAAATTTTGTTTTGTGTTACATTTTTATTTAAATGCTTTTAGACGTTTACAGTTTTTATTATCTCGCTAACTACCGTGCTCTTATTAATCAACATTGGTTTGATATGCAGTGAGCGGATTTTTTAATGCTATTGCATATTTTTCTTTGTTTCAAAGCATAGCTAAGTGTAATTTCTTGACAGTTGTTTTGAATTAGCTGCTATGTTGATTAATGTTAGTGAATATTTGGCAGTTCGTTAAAATGGAGACTAAATTTCAAAACCTTTTTATCTTTACATATTATTTACTTATTATTGAGCGTTCATGGATTAGAAAGAGCTTGTCACAGTCGTTTGATTTTGTTTTCTATAGATGGAACAATATATGTTCGAATGCTAGATATTGCGTGATATTATATTTTTTAAACCAGGCAAAATAAATGCAACAAGACACACAATGTACTTCACTAACTTGAAAAATTACAAAATTTACAAATTTTTAGATCAGAAATGCATATTCTTAAAAGCAAAAATTCTTTCGTTCAAATGCTCTCCGTATTGACATGTGGAGTAGGAGGGGGGGGCGTACTGACCGCGAGCGCGGGCGGTGGCGGGCGCCTAGGGGCGGGTTTTGCGTGGGATATGCATGGACAGCGGGCGCAGCGGGCGGAGGCGCGGGCGGCGCCCCGGCCGCTGCCGCCTGCTCCTCCTCCTCCTCCTGTGGGCGAGTGCTGCCGCTGCTGCTGGCGCCCGGGCTGCTGCTGCTGCTGCTGCTTCAGCTGACGGCGCGACGGGGGGCCTCGAGCGCTTCCCGCCTCCTGCAACACGCGCGCTACAATCAGGACCAGAGCGAACACGGCAGACCGGGCCTCGCACCGGGAGGGCCTGGGGACACACTGGGTCTGGCTCTACGCCCCCGACCGGTCTCCTGACGTATGGGGTAGAGTAGTGCTTTTAAGTCTGCGTATAAAGGCGGATCCACACATGAGGGATTAGGCGAATCCCGAGCAATCCCTCGCCGATTCCCGAGTAGTGTGGACGGGTTGCTTGCCATTTGCCCAGCGCCGAACATTCGGTATTCGCCCTCCCACTGCGTGTCGGTCTTAAGGGCACGTCAAAGGGAGCGAACATTCGCCGAACACATCAGCTGATCGGGATTGGGCGAGCAGTAGCTCGCTGCTCGGCGAGTGCCGAATGTGTGGAGCCGCCTTAAGAGAAGAAGGAAGGATTAAGAAGGCCTGTTTCTCGGGATATTGCTTCGGCATTCACCTCGTTTTGATCAGAGAAGAATCAAAAAACTACCGATCAAAGCAGCTGCCGCTAAAAATCTCCAGGCAGTGACTTCATTCAACTCAGCAATATAATCTCCTGTCAAGAAGTCATCACTACATTCTGGGTGTGTGGAACCCTACGGCTTCTTTATCAAAAACCGTGCAGACAGCGACAATGGTAACTTAGCCAGTAGCTTGATAAAGATCCACTGCCAAGGTAAAAAAGGAAATATTGAAGAAAAATGAAAAAAACAAACAAACATAAAATACGCATGGAGAGCTAAAACGGTAAAATTAAAATTTTCTAAAACTATTTTAGAAGCTCAGTTCAGCTTTTCCTGTTCTTAACAGTATTAATAAAGCAATTGAAATTGTTAAACATTTCACAGATCTTCCGAATTGTATTTGAGTATATCTTAAAATTATATTGTTTTTATCTCGCATTGATTCGCGATGTCCTGAAGCAGTGTCTTTGTTTTACTCACTGAATTGTACGAGCATTATCTGCGAGGTGCTCGAGCATTGCCTGTGCTTGCACCTGCATGTTTACGTGGAAGTGAGTGGGAGTGTGTATACGTGTGTGTGGGAGAAGCAGAAAAGGAAAGTAATCATGGCGAGAGAGGGGAAAAATTACAATGAAGTGGAAACTATTGTTGTTAATTGTTTCATTGAAATTATTAGGCGGGAAAATATTAGGTACAGAAAGCTGAATCAGAATCTGGAAAGCGGAATATAAGTTTTAGAAGTGGAGCGAAACTATATGCTTTCGGGCTTAATGTTCTACAATTTCCTTTATTTCGCTTCGACATTGCTCTCGTTTTCCACTTCAGTATTTCAGTTTGTTTCTTCCAATTTCGACGTATTGAGTACCCCGTGATTTACAATAAAAATGGAAACAAGAAAACTGTTATCCACAGACGATTTTTCAGATGAAGTTAGGAAAAAAGTCTCCTTTATTTTAACACTAGCAAAATACCCGGCGTTGCCTGGGCTTCATACCCAATCCTTGCGAAAGAGGGGCAAATATCAATTCTATGTAAACCATGATGTATAAGATTATTTTTTCATGTATGGGATTCATATTGTAATAAAAAACTATAAGCTACTAAATAAAACACGAATAGAGCAAGTTTTGCTGTGTTGGTACAGATTAGCCAATTTCAATTTGAGAACAGTGAGCATTAGTGTAGATGCAGTTTGGTTGTGAAGCCATCGGTGCGGTGACACGAGGGGCGGGGCGGGGGCGGGGGTGTGTGGTTTGGACGCGCGTGGGACGTTGCAGGCGGAGCTGCCACCGATGCCGCGCGGCGTGTCCCCGCGGGGGCCCTGACTGCCGCCCGCGCCCGCCCACGCAGAGGGCCAGGAAATGTGAGGGGCGGGCGGTGCTGCAGCTCCAAGCAGGTCGGATGGATTCCACAACACGAAGCGCGTCCACTTGGGGCTGTGGAGGGCGAACCGCACGCGACGGCACAGCCTCCGGGGAGGAGAAAACCGGCTTAGTGGTTCACAGCGTCATTTGATGTCACTGTGATAGGTCTAGTTCAGCCGCTGCCTGGAGGAGAATTCTAGCGTCCGGCTCCTCTGATCGGTAGGTTTCCGTGCTTTCTCCAATCAACACCAGGCGAATGCGGGTGCAGTACACTAGCAAACGGGCCACGAATCGCGCACGATCATTCCTTCCACTTTTTTGCCCTATTCTCACCGACTTGTTGTCAGCGTCCTACAGCGAAAGGTGAAGCTTATGAGGACGTTGAAACGGAACGACACAATAATAATGATCCTTAATAATCCCTGGTCTCATATTAACGCCTAAAAAGTTCTGAAGTCGGCTATATAGAGAGATGTGGGTATTATTGTAGTGTTTCATGAGATATGCTCCCGTCAGGAGTGTTCCTTATATTGTGGGGCACTGTTTGGAAACCTGAGGAAACCACGAAATTGCAGCCGAAAGGTTAGGTCTGTCAGTTTTAACTTTCTATCTTGTATTTCAACTGATTGTATTGATTTTACACATTTATCAAACAGGGTTGAGTGCTGGTCAATAATAGAACATTCCATTGATGATGATGCGGACACAAAGTATTTTCTATAGTAAGAATTGATGCTGTGAATGGTCCTAATTCCTTTCGAATGTTCCACTTTGCTTCAGGTCGTAATCTTTCAGTACATTTTATATTATCTACAAACACTGACACAACCATGTTTCAGAAATTAATGTACAAAGCAAACTAGTAAATGACGAAACCCAAATACAATTTAGGTGGATTAGAGAATAAACCACACGGCGTATTGAGAGCCACGAAAATGTGCATACGTAATGAGCGATGTATTTGTTTCCACAGAATGGGCTATTTCGAATACCATGCTCACTCATATATCACAGCTGCATTGTGTATACTGCCGTTGAACCCGAACGTTGCTATTGAAACACGGAGGTCATTTCTTTTCGTTTATTTTAGCGAATTACAGAATCGATATCATCTTGTGTGATCTCATATCAGACCTTGTGGTAGCGGGTCAGTTCTTCAATAAACGGTAGGAGCTAAAACCTGCAGCTCATTTTTGCGATGCAAATACTATTTTATATCTCTAGGATGAGTTATTGTTTGCTTTAGAATTTTGCTAACAACGTTCCATACTGCCTTTATTCGTAATTTAACCTGGTATAGTACTGGCGTGAAAATAAGTATTTTAGAGCTCCGTTGTACTTATCCCCCGATTTGTAACATGTTTTGCCATCATCGATGTTTCAAACACTGATACATGACAACCGCTGTTTCTTACCATCTGTGTTTTGTGGTCGATGTTTTTACATTTTGAATCCTTCCCCCTCTTTTTCGATCAAGTACGTCATGTAAAATATTGACAGATAGGAGAAAAAAAATATAGTTGATTTAAAAGCACATGAGCATGGAAAAAAGCCAAAATTAGTTTGTTCACTAGAAACTTCATTGAAAAAAAAAATCTGGGAATGCCAAATATGTTAATAATTGCCTGTTGATTTCCACTCCAGAGGGCGGAATCCACTGAGGAATTCGCCTCGTCAAAAACACGTCTCGGCAGGCGACGCATTAGCGTCATACATCACGTCGCGCGCCGCGTTTTCCCTCTCTTTGACACGCGGGAGGGCGGCGAGCGGGCGCCGAAGCCCAAAGGGCGCGCGCTGCGCACTCGAAGGGCTGGCACGGCAGAGCGCGCGCACTGGCACGCAAGCGCACTCGAGGGCGGCGGTCTCCGGCTCGCCCTCTTTCGCTGCGCCACGCCCCTC